CGAGAGATCTCCCCCCAGGGGGGATGGTCACGCCGCAATCCCTTCTCCTCCATTCTCCTCTCGGGATCTTGGGGACGCACGCACACGCGCCCGGTGTGAGTTTTAAGCCACCGGGTCCAGGACATGAACCACGGTCGACTACGTGGGAATCCAGCGACATAGCCATTACACTAACTGCTGGTCCCAATAAATAAATCTTTTTTTTTAAAAAAAAAGTAACAACCCTGGAACCAGCACGTGGCATAATGGGTTATGTCGCTGGACTCCCATGTAGTCAACTGTGGTTTGAGTCCTAGACCCAGCAGCTTAAACTCATGCCAGGCGCGTGTGCATGCGTGCCCAAGATCCCGAGAGGAAAATGGAGAAGGGACTGTGGCATGGCCATCCCCCTTGAGGGGTGATTTCTCGCTTTCTGTCTCTCTCTCTGTCTTTCCAGCGAGTGCATCCGTCCTATAGCATAAACCTCTCAAAAAACAAACAAACAAAAAAACACGTGACAACTCTGTGGGTAATCAACAGGTTGGTATGAGTCCAGCTTAGGTAGCACTACCAAAGCCATGGCAGTAGTTACTAGGCACATTACCATGAGCAGGGGTAGTCCTACTGCCCTCCACTGGACAGAACACACAGATGCCACAGAGGAACAGGTTGGTTGGACTATCCAAGGATATGTGATCAGTTCAGAACATGTTAGGGGAGGAAACACTGCACAGCTGGGCAGTAACAACAGAGAAGGGGACAGACAGGAGTGGCACAGCCAGGGGGCTAGACTCAGGGGAAGCTGTCAAGAGGACAAAGAAAATAAGCGGGAAAGCAGCACCAGACCACATAAGTGCCCACAGTGCTTGCCTCTTATAGGAACCGACTGAGCTGAACGTGACCTCTGAGATTTCGCCTTCTGAGCTCTGATCGCTGCCACTTACAGCCCTCGAGTAGAAAGTGGGGTACTTATGCAGCTCGTCGGAAGAGGACGTGGCACCGCCTGGGCACCAGCGCCAGGACCAACAGCAACTTCCCAGGGGAACGAGGGAGGAGCAACGGAAGAACCAAGTTTTGGTCAGAGAGAGAGGAGTGCAATGAAGCCACGGCGCCAAGTTCTCCACCGTTGTCCTGAGGTGGATGCCCGTAGGAGGCACAGGCCTACGTCCTCTAAGGCGAGAGAGTCTAAATTCGGGTTAAGAAGCTTAGGAGCCCGGTCCAGGCGCGCAGGTGAGACCTCCGGCATCCCGTACGTGTGCTCCGTGGTCTCGCACATCCACAGTCCAACCGCTCGTCTTCCCCCGACACCTCGCCCGCTGATCTCTCAGCCCCTCACGGAACTCGGTTCCAGACGCGTTTCTGGACCTGCGTCCCACTTTCCCGTAAAGCAGACACAAGCCAAGGAGGCGTCCCTGGGCGGCAGCGGGCATGAGCCGGCTTTTGCGGAGGCCTAGACGGACAAGAGGTCACCCTCCACGAACAGGGACGTTCCGTGCCGTCAGAGTGCGCAGAGGACGCAGCAGGCGGAACTTCCAGCGCGCGAGGTCCCGGAGGCCGGGGGCGGGACCCCGCCGGGGCACAGCCATCCTTCGCCGGCACGGTTTCAAAGCGCCTTTCGGAAGGGGCCGCGAGAGTCGCGGCCCCGAGATCGCCTAATTTGCTGGCTCGTACCGCAAGGTCGCTCCTGCGAAAAGCAGTTCACTCAGTCCTCAGAAGCTGCGGTGCCCGGCCCGTCGCCCTAGCAACCACTGAGACGCACCGCACGCGGAGCAGGAAGTGACGTCACAGGGGCGTGACGACCGCTGAGCCAATGGAGAAACTGGCTGAGTGAGTGGGGCGGGACTTCCGGCGACGCCCACGCCGCCTGGTGTCTGCGCTGTGTGGGTCGATCTAGTCCGCGGGACTCTCCGCACGCCGCGGGTGGTTTCTCTGGTGGTCAGCGGCCCCGGAGAGGGACAGAGGCCCCCCGGTGCGCCTCGCCTCAGCACGGAAGGTGGTCCCCACCGGTCGAACGACTCCATCTTAAGACGCGGCGTTTCTTCCGTACCTTCGCACCCGCTGCCCTGCCTCCCCGCAGCTTCCAGGGGTCACTCCTTAGACCTTGGGCGCATTTGTCCCAGCAGGGGAGACCTAGCTTCGAAGGCTCCACGGCAGCCCGAGGTTACGGCGCCCAGGACGGGGGTGACAGGGACGCATTTCATCCACAGACTGCAATGGCCAAAGAAGCGCAAGTGAGTGGAGGGTGTCCTAGTCTGATGAGGGCTTTGTCAGGTGGAGGCATAGTTTATGGTAAGGCTGAGGGGCAAGGGGCCGAAGGGAGGTCTTCAGGGCAGGGCCGGGAAGTAGGGGACGTGGGGGGCCTTGGGAGGTGTGGGGCTGGACTGGGGCAGGGTGGTATCGTGGTTGCTGTACTGGGAACTCTGGAGACATCACGCGCAGGACAGCATGTGGGAAAGCTAGCAAGCTGCCTGTTGGGCAACCTGGTGAGGCTGTGCTGGGGGGTGTAGAGTTAAGCATGCTGCCCAACAGAGTTCTGTGCCTGGTGGACAGGCAGGCCCTGGGATCAGGTACTTGGGGTGAAGGGAGAAGGGTGAGCATAGGGTTGTTTGCATCTAGGGTTAGCAGGTGGTGTGCCAGTTGGATTTGAGAGACATGATCTTTGGGACTCATATACAGTTTGAGTTTGCAGGAGGAAGGGTGTGCCTTGTGTGCTTGGCCATGCGTTGATCACATCTGTCTGGTCACCAGGTGATTGTTGCTGTGGACTGGATAAGTGTAGTAACACCAGAGGCATCAATGACTCTAGGGGCCTTAGTGTTCCTCTGAGATAGGAGTCTGGGCTGAAGGGTGGTATGAAGATATGTTGGGGTTAGGGGAGTGTGGAAAGAAAGTTTGGGTTTGGAAAGATAATGTCAGTGGGAGATGTGGCAGGATCACACACCTCAAGGTCCTGGATGTGTCCATGTGTCCATATTTGGGTTTTTTTTTTTTTTTCATTGTACTATTGACACCAAAGCTCAGTTGAACCCCATCATTGTAGGGCCTGGTGTTGTTTGAAGATGTAGCCGTGTATTTCTCTCAGGAGGAGTGGGAGCTCCTTAATGTGACCCAGAAGAGCCTATACTGTGATGTGATGCTGGAGAACTTTGTACTCATTAACTCACTGGGTAAGTCTCACACTCTTACCCAGCACACTGGCCACCGTGGAGAGTGGCCATCTGAGGTCAAGAAAAAGAAAGCAAATAAAATACAAAGCCACTTGTTTTCAGATGTTAATCAACTAAAAATATGAAAACAACTGGCACCATGTAGTTTCTCTGATCATTTGGGACAAATTCTGATAAACACATGTGGTTTTCTTTAAACTGATACTGCTCTATGGTTTCAGAGAGCTAGCATATTCACATACAAATTGCTTTCATCACCATGTAAATGACAGCTCATGGAACCGCATTTCTACATGTGTCTAAAGGTTATCATGTTTGCTCAAATTGGCCACTCTCCAAAGGCCACTTCTACCTTTTCCCCACGGAAAGTTCTGTCCATATCAAAGTCAAATCACATAGGCTGCTTCCTTCTCTGGTTCCCTGTTGTAGGTGTTCTGGATGCTGAGACTGGGCTGTGTGTTCTTTCGCTACCTCTCTCTGAGCAGCCCTGTTGGTAGCCACAACACCTGTTGCCCTAAAGCCCACTGGAGCAGGATTGGGGGAACAGATGTTTCAGTTTGCCCACAAATCCCACCCAGCTCTGTCTCTTCATTGTCCTGTGACTGCTGAAGATACGGACCCTCTGTGCTCCAGTTTTTGCTTACCTCCAAAGGACGATTCCCTTCATGGGCCAGGCTTGAGCCATGAATTTGAATGAGAAGATCAGTTTGGGGAGTCTTGCCATCTTTTCTATTCGTGGTACTCATGACAGAGTGTGCACCTGTACGAGAGTGAGAAAGAAAGGAAGGCATCCTCCATGGGGCCTGGCTATGCCATAGTCCCCTTCTTTCATTCCTCTAATCTACCAGAATTCTGGGCATACACATTCATCTGGTGTCCTGGTGTATTTCAGACTGAGCTGGAGACTGGAACCATGGTTGGCATGTGGCTTCCAGCTCCACAGTCCAGTATACCACACACTGTGCAACAGAGGCCAGACCTGTCATCCATCTTTTTTTTTTTTTTAATAAAGAATTAATTTTATTTCTTCTTCTTATTATTATTAATTTGACCAGAGAGAGAAAAAGGGAAACTGAGAAAATAAGCTACTAGGTCTGGTACTCAGACCAGTGTTTAACCAACATGCCACCTGCCAGCCACCCTGCCATCCATCTTAACATTCATCTTTAGGTCAATGGCTATGAGATATTGTTCCATTTGTTTAATGGTTTAAATTTTCTTTTAAAGTTAGTCTTTGCTATAGGGCATGTATATTCACCATGTATATTCATAGAGAAAGAGGGAAAGTGAGAAATCACCCGCAAGGGAGGATGGACACACCACAATCCTTTCTCTTTTATTCTCCTCTTGGGATTTTGGGTGCAAACACATATGTGCCCCGCACGGTTAGCCATGTGGGATTCAACTATCTTAATCTCTAGGCCACCTACTGGCCCTTTTATGCTATTTTAAAAGGAAGGATTTAAAATTTTTATAAAGAATTTTTGTTTTATTTATTATCATTATTGTTTAATTTACTATAGGGCACATGTATTCACCAGAGAGAGATAGAGAGAAAAGTGAGAAAGCAAGCCTCCATGTCTAGGACTTGAAGCACGATTGACCAAGTGGAAATCTAGCACTTTAACCACCACACCATCTGATGGCCCCTTGTGCTATTTATTTATTTATTTATTTATTTATTTGGGGGGGGGGTAGCGAGATTTTCACTATAGGGCGTGTATATTTGCCCGGAAGGCAGAGAGACAGAAAACAAGACATCACCTCCTAGGGGAGATGACCATGCAGCAATCCCTTCTCCTCTATTCTCTTATTGTTTATCTTGAGCATACACACACATGTGCCCAGTGTGAGTTTTAAGCCACTGGGTCCAGGACTCGAACCACAGTCAACTATATGGGAATGCAGCAACACAACCATTATGCCATCTGCTGGCCCCTCCTTATGCTAGTTTAAATGGGATTGCTTTCTTAATTTTATTTTGAATTATTCATTGCCAGTTGTAGAAATATAATTTGTTTTCTTTTATACTGATCTTGTATCCTGCAATGCTGGGAAATTTATTAGTCTGAATAGTTTTTGTTTGTTTGTTTACTTTTGGAGAGGTTTTTTTGCTATCGGGTGCATGTGCTTGCCAGACAGACAGAGAGAGACAGAGAGACAGAAAGCGAGAAATCACCCCCCAGAGGGGATGGCCATGCCGCAATCCCTTCTCCTCCATTCTCCTCTCGCAATCTTGGGCATTCACGTTACATGTTCCTGGCGTGAGTTTTAAGCCACCGGGTCCAGGACTTGAACCGCAGTCGACTACGTGAGAGTCCAGCAACATAGCCATTATGCTAACTGCTGGTCCCTCTCATGCATTCTTCTCTCGGGGCCTTGGGCACGCATGCACATGTGCCCGGTGTGAGTTTAGGCCACTGGGTCTCTGGGACTTGAACTGCAATCGACTGCATAGGAGTCCAGCAACATAGCCATTTTGCCAACTGCTGGTACCTGAATAGATTTTTCAGTCAGTCTCTTTTTTTCTTTCTTTCTTTTTCTCATTTTTGTTTTATTTAGAGAGTTTTTTGCCATAGGATGCATGCACTCACCAGAGAGACAGAGACAGAAAACAAGAAATCACTCTCTAGGGGAGATGACCACAAGGCAATCCCTTTTCCTCCATTCTCCTCTTGGGATTTTGGGCATGCACGCATATGCACCCAGCATGAGTTTTAAGCCACCTGGTCCGGGACTTGAACCATGGTCGACTATGCGGGAGTCCAGGGACATAATCATGCCATCATTTTTAAAAATTATTTGTTTAGGGATCCAGCAATTAGCGTAATGGCTATGCACCAAAAAAAAAAATTGTTTAAATTTATTTTATTTATTTATTCATTTTTGAGAGATTTTTGCTATTAGGGCATATACGCAGACAGAAAGTGAGAAATCACTCCCCGGGGAGTTGCAATCCCATCTCCTCCATTCTTTCAGGATTTTGGGCTTGCGTGCACATGCGCCTGGCATGAGTTTCAAGCCACTGGGTCTGGGACTTGAACCATGACTGACCATGTGGGAAACCTGTGCCACCTCCACCATTCCACCTGCTGGCTCCTTAGTCAGTTTCTTAATATTTTCCATATAAGATCACATCATTTATAAATAGAGGTAGTTTTACTTCTTTTGTCTAACCGAGCTAGCTAGAATCTCCAGTACTTTACTGAAGAGAAGTGGAAGTAGACACCCTTATCTTGTTCTTATCTTACAGGGAAAGCAGTCTTTCACTATTAAGTATGAGGTTAATGATTGGTTTTTGCAGATGCCCATTTCCAGTCAGGAACTTATCTTTTCTTCTTAGTTTGTCAGGTGTCTTTATTATGAAAGGTCATTAGATTTTGTCAAATGCTTTTTCCATGTTTATAGAAATGGTCATATCTGTTTTGCAGGTTTTATTCAGAATTATTTTATTTTCACTTATTTATTTATTTGAATTTGACCAGAGAGGCACAAAGTGAGGAAGAGAGAGAAAAAGGGAAAGTGAGAAAGCAAGCTGCCAGGTCTAGGACTTGAACTGCAGGTGGCCATGTGGGAATCCAATGCCTTAACTACCACATCACCTGCCAGGCCCACACCTGGTATATTTTTTAAGCTGTTAGGTCCGAGACTTGAACTACAGTGTTACTATATAGGATCCAGTACCTTCACTGCCATGCTGCTGGCCCTGTGTTTACTTTTGTTTTGTTGTTTTAATTTCTTTTTTTTTTTTTGGAGAGGTTTTTGCTATAGAGAGCATGCGCTCGCCAGACAGACAGAGATAGACAGAGAGACAGAAAGTGAGAAATCACCCCCCATGTGGATGGCCCCGCTGCAATCCCTTCTCCTCCATTCTCCTCTCAGGATCTTGGGCACACATGCACATGCGCCCGGCATGAGTTTTTTTGTTTTTTGTTTTTTGTTTTGTTTTGTTTTGTTTTAGAGATTTTCACTATAGTTTCACTATAGGCGCGTGCGCTCGCCAGACAGAGAGAGACATAGAGACAGAAAGCGAGAAATCACCCCCCAGGGGGGATGGTCATGCCGCAATCCCTTCTCCTCCATTCTCCTCTCAGGATCTTGGGCATGCACGCACACGCGCCCGGCGTGAGTTTTAAGCCACCGGGTC